CTTTTTGAATCAACTGTCTAAACAATTCAACGCTTTAAAATGAGAATTTGTCATTCCCTGCCACAAAAAAAAATAAACAAAATGTGTAGAAGTGTGATATCTTGCAAGAAGTTCCTGTCAGACTCATTACTTTTTGGTGTCAGGTCATATCTTCACAATGAAATAGGTACGAGAAAGCCTGATCTTATATGCTGTTTTATCCTTTTTTGTACGCTACTATTTTGCGAACATTGCGCATGTTTGTATTCGTTACATACACTCTTTATGTAGTATCCTCAATCCGAAATCTTGGTAACTCGCACGAATGAGTGAATAAATAAATAAAAACCAAATAAATATGTTGAATAAGTGTACATTGTTAGACCACTAAGCGCACACCGAAACAAAGAGACGCCAGCGCACAGTAACAGTAAAATAATGATCAGCCGGAAACGGTAGCATGCGGCTTATTGATTTGCGTCTCTGCTTAGTCTCTTCTTAATTTCGGCTCACGGCCGTACTTACATAGTACGGTATGAAATTCGCTATGTACATTGCTCTATAGAAAACAACAAAACATTTAAAACACATTTCTTACCAAACGCAAATAGAAAGAAGAACACGCTCATCGTGGTAGATCCACGCTATAGAGTCAGGGTGGCGCGAGCCAGACTTCATGGCCTTCACCTAAAGCGTTTCGCGACGCGCTGAGTTCAATATTTATCAGCACTCTTCACCCTGCGTATCACCGCATTATACCCGACATTCAATACAAAAGAAGCGTATCGAGAGCATAACAAACGAAAGCAACAGATAAAAGTCAGTCTGCATGCATAGGTTTTCGCGGATATTTTCACAAGGAGTTTCTAAGAAACCTACTGCTGGCCTTACCATTTTTTAATGTAGTTCCTTGTGATAGTCATGTGCAGTGAACAAGATGCTACGTAAGGTCGCAGGTTTGGCCCTGCGCACAGCTTTGTCCACGGTTCCTGTCCACGGTTAGATCTTATTATTGTCAAAACACGGAAATACGAGCCCTTAAGTATACACTTATTTCCCTTATTGATTAACGAGGGTCTTGTAGCGGCAGACTTGGTGCCTTAGGTTGTATACGTGGGACTGTTGGTCAGCTGCCAGCTCGTAATTATTATGTTCACGTGCTACGTGACGCCACACACGCTCATGAAGAGTGTGCCACACTCGCCGCCATGGCTACTGGTGGCACTGACTGACACTTTCAAGTTTAAAATTCACACAGATACCCAATAAAGTGGCTGGGGGAATAGCCGCCGTGGTAGCTCAGCGGTAGAGCATCGAACGCGTTATTCGAAGGTCGCAGGTTCGGTTCCTGCCCACGGCAACTTACCTTTTCACCCACTTTTTTTTTACATCACACTTACAATACAATTTGGTCTAATAAGTTCCCCTATACTTTCCTTGACATTATTGTCTGTTAGGAAGCGTTTTTGTTAAGGTTCACCCTGTGACTTACATAAACAAATATAATCATTGTAGCGGGCGATGACGCCGGTGATCACGATAATTTGATTTGTGTGCGCATACCAATTTGTAGGCCGAGGCGGACGGTGCAGACGCGGCCAACATGCCTCACGTTATCTCCGGAGGGCCGCGGAAGATACACAGCCACGCCCCTTTTGGATGTCGCTTTCGAAGCCTGTTTTTCTTGGAAAATAAACTAGTCTTGTCCCAAACCTCAAGGAGTGTAGGTGCCTTCTTTTCGCGCCTCCATGGGGCGAGTACGCTACATCATCATTAACCGAAACACGCTCTCTTCAACATTTTCTTCAACTTCGTCCTTACGTCCTTGTCTTCCTATTCTTCCTCGCTCCTAGAACACGTGCTCCGATTTTTTCAGCGTCAATAAAACTTGCGTTGGGTCTAGTTGGCACTTAAGACAATAAGAAGTGAACTTCTTTGACGCAAACAATACGGGAAAATGAAAAAAAAGAAAAAGAAGGTTAAAAAAGAAACATATTCACGCCAATTTTTTTCTTCTCACAGCATCGCATATATACGCCAAAACCACATAAATTGCATACACACGCACACCTTCGTATTGTATACGTACTAACAGATAAAATACCTATATACATCGCACCAAAACACCTGAGTGCTGATGCTTTGTGTCATATTTCACACGTAAACCACGATATCCTAACCAATTGTGCACTCGAAAATTCATATTTAATGGTATGCAAAGAAACGAAGGTATCACTGATGCAATCAGCTCTGCTTTTCTTAATGTGATATGCCTCCAAAGCAGGCCTTGCATCGTCATTGCTGCTTCTGCCTAGAATCAGCGTGTCAAGAAATCGTGGCGAATGGCCAATGCAGGAGTTCAAGCGAGCAAGAAGATGTGTCCCTTTTTCTACCTTGTTAGTTATTTTTTGCGCATGGTCCCTAAAACGCTCGCTTATGCATCGCTTATGGGTCGCTTATCCCGTTTGCCCGATGTAGAACCTGCCACACAACACAGGTGATGCAAAACATATGATTATGAAAGCCCCTTCAAGGAGAGCTCCGGAAATTTAGACCGCGTGGGGCTCTTGAACGTGCACCCAAATCTGAGCTCACAGGCCTACAGCACTCTCAACGCCATCGAAAACGCAGCCACCGCCGCCGGGATTCGATCCCGCGACCTGCGGGTCAGCAACAGAGTGCCTTAGCCACTAGACCATACACTAATTTGCGAGAGAATGAATACCGACAGACTAAAGGAAAGAAAAAAAGAAAAAAAGAAAGAAAGAAAGAAAGAAAGAAAGAAAGAAAGAAGGAAAGAGAGAAAAAAAAGAAGTAGAACGAAAAGAAAATTTTCCGCCAAAAAAATTCTTTGGCGAGGCGAGGTTCGAATCCGAATGCCAAATATTCGAAGGTGGGCGCCGTAACTAAACGGCTGTCTAGGCACGCTACCAGAACTTGGCAGAGCCCTGTATAGCGTATAGCGTAACAAGAAGTTGGGAAAGAGAATTGATAATGGGGTATATGATTGTGAAAAGGAGAGAATGGGGGAGAGTAGACGGCGAAGCAAAACGTAGAAAGAACGAGAGAACTGGAGAAAAAGAAAAGGAAGAAAGACAAAGAAAAAGAAAGAGAGAAAGGGAGAGAATGAAGCAAACTGCGAGAAACAAACAGAGAAAGAGAAGGAGATAGAAAGAGCAAGAAATAAATAGAGAAAGAGGGAAGTGCGGAAAAACAGAGAATGAAAAAGAGAGAGAGAGCAAGCATAGTATGTGTGACATAATATAGACGGGGTGGGAGAGATAGAGGTGAGAGAGTGAAAAGCTAACTGAAACACTGGTAGTGTTGAGGCTTTGATTCGAAGTTTTACTGTACGCTACTATGACACAGGAAATGAAGAGCACTACGTTTCAATCAGGGGAGCATTCAGCAACTTTTTTTTAAAAAGACGATAGTTTTCATGGGGACCTTCGACGCAAAAATTTTGGTCTGTCTGTCTGTATGTATGTATGTATGTATGTATGTATGTATGTATGTATGTATGTATGTATGTATGTATGTATGTATGTATGTATGTATGTATGTATGTATGTATGTATGTATGTATGTATGTATGTATGTATGTATGTATGTATGTATGTATGTATGTATATTTGTCTGTTTGTCCACTCCTAATGGCCTCGCGTACTCGAAACGGCCGACCCCATCCGCAGCGCGCACCAATGTTGCTCAAAATTTAGCGTTCGCACTTGTGCGATTGTCAATTAAAAAGCAATTGTTGCGCATGTCTGGGGCACCACAACAACACGCATATATTCTGCATGTGCCTCGTTTACTAGAAAAGGCAATGCATAAGTAATTTTAAAGACCGTAGCGTTTATCACGCTGCGCTAACCATGCAACGCTTGTACGAAAAGGAGAGTGTTTCCAACGATTTGCTAAAACGAGATGGTGGTGGCGCCTACCCGTCGCCTTGTGTCCTACACCTTATCACCTCTGAGACGGGCGCGCACACCCGTCTCAGAACCACGCGCTTCGTTTTCTAAAAAAATGGCAGCACATCCACGGGGTGAATGATGGAGAGTGGGGTGAAGCATCCGTCCGTTCGTTCATTCTTGCTTCCGTCCATCCATGCATTCGTCTGTGTTACGGCCCATGCGTCCATGCGCCCGTCCGTGCGTGTGTTAGTTCGTGCGTCCGCACGTCCACCTGTGCGTCCGTCCCTGCGTTCATCCGTGCATCCGCCCCTGCGTCGGTGCATGCGTCCATACATTCGTGCAGCCATCCGTGCGTCGGTCCTTGCATCTGTCTGTGTGTCCGTTCGTCCATCTAGTCAACACTCCAAGTACCACAATCTCGCATCTTTCCATCATATATTCCGCATATAGAAGCACCGCCATCCAGCGGACATTCCAAGGACTAAACGAGAGGTGGCACACGCACACTTTTTTACCGCTTGCGCTTCGTGTCTACTTCCCAGCTTTAACCACCTCGAGTTTATGGTATATACTAGTTGACTGTATTCATGGCACTGCAACCCAACGCTCGCTAAACCTTTCTAAAACCAAGGAAGTTATGTCCAGCGTGTACAACGTAGAAACCCTGATTGATTTGATTGATATGTGGGGTTTAACGTCCCAAAACCACTCTATGATTATGAGAGACGCCGTAGTGGAGGGCTCCGAAAATTTAGACCAGCTGGGGTTCTTTAACGTGCACCCAAATCTGAGCACACGGGCCTACAACATTTCCGCCTCCATCGGAAATGCAGCCGCCGCAGCCGGGATTCGAACCCGCGCCCTGCGGGTCAGCAGCCGAGTACCTTAGCCACTAGACCACCGCGGCGGGGCAACGTAGAAACCCTTTCTTGTCAGATAGTGCCCAATGTACATGCCAATGGCTGCTAAGGAGGAATGAGAGACAGGAGAATTCTGCTTTTAGTTAACGCGCACGCTGCGATTTTTTTATTGTTCAATAACGCACAGGAGAAATCTCCCACCAGCACCACCTTGCAGGTCAAAGCGTAAGACATGTTACACACTACTACGAGGGACGAACGGGTGCTGCTTCAAGAAGCTTCGCCCCTAAAACTGCCAGATGGCGCTCATGTCTCGCATGTGACGTGACTTGATGCGCTCGTTCGCCTCCGCTGCACGCTCGAGGCACTCTAACGCAGCACCTCCAGAATACCATTCACCGATTTTCTTGCTCAGAACATCAAATAAATGTTTTGTTCACTCTCTCCAAACGCAAGACTATCATCTTTCGACGACATTTCCAAACTAACATGCAAATACGGGGCCAATTTTTCTCTCGCTATTGTTCGTGCAGATGTGAAAAAAAAGCATAATAACAATAGCCCTCGGACATAGAGTCGTGATATGAGACTTTTTTTGTAAGACATGTCTTCGTCATGTGAATATCTGGACGTCAGGTTGTGAAAATGGCAAATCGTAAGATGACTTTGCGAAAGTTCGTATAATGTCCCAAGTATCGGCAGGTCATCATGCCCTGAAAAATAAAATCTTTTCGCTACATGTTGATGTAAGTGTATTATACATAATATAGAAATGATATTGACCTTATTTTTAATCTTTGCAGTGTAATAGAGGAGAGAAATAAGATTTACAGTCCAATAAACCCCATTTCTTTTTAACATACATTTGTGGCCCCGCCGCGGTGGTCTTGTGGCTAAAGTACTCAGCTGCT